ATGTTCAAAATAGTAGCATCTAAACATTACTATGTCCTAAAGGTACTGCCTAGGTACCTAATGTTCAAAATAGTAGCATCTAAACATTACTATGTCCTAAAGGTACTGCCTAGGTACCTAATGTTCAAAATAGTAGCATCTAAACATTACTATGTCCTAAAGGTACTGCCTAGGTACCTAATGTTCAAAACAGTAGCATCTAAACATTACTATGTCCTAAAGGTACTGCCTAGGTACCTAATGTTCAAAACAGTAGCATCTAAACATTACTATGTCCTAAAGGTACTGCCTAGGTAACTAATGTTCAAAACAGTAGCATCTAAACATTACTATGTCCTAAAGGTACTGCCTAGGTACCTAATGTTCAAAATAGTAGCATCTAAACATTACTATGTCCTAAAGGTTCTGCCTAGGTACCTAATGTTCAAAATAGTAGCATCTAAACATTACTATGTCCTAAAGGTACTGCCTAGGTACCTAATGTTCAAAACAGTAGCATCTAAACATTACTATGTCCTAAAGGTTCTGCCTAGGTACCTAATGTTCAAAACAGTAGCATCTAAACATTACTATGTCCTAAAGGTACTGCCTAGGTACCTAATGTTCAAAACAGTAGCATCTAAACATTACTATGTCCTAAAGGTACTGCCTAGGTAACTAATGTTCAAAATAGTAGCATCTAAACATTACTATGTCCTAAAGGTACTGCCTAGGTACCTAATGTTCAAAACAGTAGCATCTAAACATTACTATGTCCTAAAGGTACTGCCTAGGTAACTAATGTTCAAAACAGTAACATCTAAACATTACTATGTCCTAAAGGTACTGCCTAGGTACCTAATGTTCAAAACAGTAGCATCTAAACATTACTATGTCCTAAAGGTACTGCCTAGGTAACTAATGTTCAAAACAGTAGCATCTAAACATTACTATGTCCTAAAGGTACTGCCTAGGTACCTAATGTTCAAAACAGTAGCATCTAAACATTACTATGTCCTAAAGGTACTGCCTAGGTAACTAATGTTCAAAACAGTAGCATCTAAACATTACTATGTCCTAAAGGTACTGCCTAGGTACCTAATGTTCAAAACATTAGCATCTAAACATTACTATGTCCTAAAGGTACTGCCTAGGTACCTAATGTTCAAAACAGTAGCATCTAAACATTACTATGTCCTAAAAGTACTGCCTAGGTAACTAATGTTCAAAACAGTAGCATCTAAACATTAATATGTCCTAAAGGTACTGCCTAGGTAACTAATGTTAAAAACAGTAGCATCTAAACATTAATATGTCCTAAAGGTACTGCCTAGGTACCTAATGTTCAAAACAGTAGCATCTAAACATTATATGTCCTAAAGGTACTGCCTAGGTAACTAATGTTCAAAACAGTAGCATCTAAACATTAATATGTCATAAAGGTACTGCCTAGGTACCTAATGTTTAAAACAGTAGCATCTAAACATTACTATGTCCTAAAGGTACTGCCTAGGTAACTAATGTTCAAAACATTAGCATCTAAACATTACTATGTCCTAAAGGTACTGCCT